GCGAGAAAAAGCCCGTTATCGTGCAGACATGATTACGGATTGTACGCGAAATATTTGTTGAGTATTTGAAAAAACCCGATTTTCCAGGGCTCAACGTTGTAGCTGACACCAAAGAATCTCTACACTGAAAAAAAAATTATTATGTTCAAGTAAATATTTATTAAAGAATATTGTAATTTACTTAATCCAAATAAAATAGATTACTACAATATTCCATAGTAAATATTTACTTGAAATAACAATTTTTTTCTCAGTGTACATATTTTTCCTCACCTTCAATTCCAACTTGATTGTTGTGAATTTTATAATGAAAGAACGTTTTATTTGAGAATTTTTTACAGTGAAATGTATGTTGGCAGAGAGTTGAAATTTTAATAATGCATTGCAAGATTCGCCGACAACTTGCTTAAATAATAAAGAGCCATTAAAAAAGAGGCACTGCACAGGTTAAAAATTCAAAAATTTATTAATCATGGAAAGAGAAAGGGATGTGAGGGAGGAGAAACTAAAATTATACATTTGGATCAAGTACTAAATATTTCCAAGTTGAATAGATCCAGCTGAATATATACTTTTGGCTATCTCCTAATGAGTTACAGTTGAAGTTACCGAAATAATCGTTCTTATTATTATCTCTCTTAATTTAACGTCGGGGGGGATGGGGGAAAATATACGATTAAGATTAAAATGCGCAACGCTAACTGATACTCCGGATAAAAACTGCGACTGCGTCTTACACTTTTTCAAGCATCAAGTGTACTCCGCGAGAAGTGCTCCGCGAGATTATCCGAGTAGATTCTTCGCGGCTTAGATGGTCGACGATGATCTCGCATGTTTATTACGCAAATCACGCGACTCTTGCGCCGAGATTAGAGTACGCCAGCTCGAACGACGGGAGACTTTACGAGAACAAATCGCGTCTCTCTCCGGGAAGCCTGTGCGCGTTGAAGTACGAACAGTCTTTCGCGAATAATCCTGTGGTTTCCCAAGATCGAGTTCGTTCGGATGTGAGCCATCTTGTAGCTTTGCAAGCCGTACAAGGCTCCCTCGGGAATTCTTCAGACGGCTGACGAAGGCTTTTCCACGACGGGATAACTTTTTGTGTGTAACCGTGATATCGATACCATCTACGTTGACGTATATAAACCGATAACAGATGTTTCTGAGTTCCTTCTTCCAGCATTACACTCGAATACTATAATTTATTTATCGTTACGGTAAGCTACGGGAATTATTGATTCTGTAAGGAATGAAATATCCTACTGTCGACGTATATTTGATTTAAAAACGATATCAGTATTAAATGCAATGTATATTGCAATCCTTTTTTTAACCTGACTCTAGAGAATTTTGTGTAGATAATATAAGATGTGATTTCGAATAATTCTATACGGTCGCTGAGGTACTCAAGCAACATGTGATAACTAGGCTAATCGGAGCCAGAACCGTGGATGTTAGCGTGTAATTTAATCACAATCCCTCGAGAGGATAAAGTCAAGACGAGTGTATGCGATTCTACCAGCTGCATATCTTTTTAGATCTTGCATCGCGAATATTCTACACCCATTTCCATAAATGAATAAATTAATTTCCCTCATTCGCAATGAATATTAATTTATATCATAGATTAAATTAGAATATAAATAGAGTGAGTCAATAATTATTGTTACTTGAAATATTTTCGAAATATGTAAATGAGATAGAGAAAAATGTATCTAATAGGAATTATGTGATATAGAAGATAAGAGTCGTATTATAGCAGTAATGCTTTTCCCCTTAAGTGAACTTTTTAAGTGAAATTTTTTCCAATTTTTGATATTAAAAGTAGTAATAGTTATTGCCTCACCCTGTATAATTCTATTATCAATTTGCTATAAAAATGAAAGAGAAAAACAAAAACACATTTTTGCTCCGAATCAACTAATTAATGCAATCTGTCGGATAATCTTTTAATTATATTTAACACAGTAATGTATATATCTACTAATATCGTGGTAAAAATGGTCAGTGATGAGTTATCTTTTGCACGGTGAAAGCGTTTCCCAGTTGGCGTAGACCTTGTCGACTCGTTTCGAGGACGTTTATCGCAAAGGAGATCGAGGTGCTGCTCCATTCTATACGAGCAATATCCTTTCGCGCGACGCCGAAGAACGCGACGCTCACTCGAGCGATGTCGAGATCACTCGATAACCCCTCGTTTTCCGATCATCGTTCCCACAGGATTTCTCCGTGGCGTCCCGTTTTTCACGCGGATCACAGAATCCTACGCGTTATCCACTTTTTCGTATTTACCAGGGCTCTGGTAATTTAGCCCAGTAATGCGACTAACTATGAGAGATTGCGCGGAAAAAGATAGAAAAAAGATTGCATTAAATCGAGAAGTATTGAAGGAGTAGATTTAAGAAATGTTTGCGAAGAGAAATTTTCTTTTTCCGTAAAATCATGCGATTTACACGTATTAAGAAGTTTATCTTAATATGTGAAAGAGTTTATTAATATATTAAAACGTTGTCTTTCTAAATATATCTTTAAATATAAATGAAAAGAGAGTCCATTTAAAAGATACTGAAGTTGAAGTTACAAAATTTGAAGTAGAATATCTTTTTCTTTTTTTCCCCTCATTTTTGGCACTTTTATAACATAAGACGTTCGATCGAAAACAGCACAGAGAAGTTACGTACTTGTCTGTATCGAATGAAATCTTGAAGTCTGAAAATTAAATTCTTTTAATGAAAAGATGAAAAATCTACCAAGCAATAGATGAGTACTGCTATTGCTGTGTCATCGTTATATTACCTTTCCATTATATACCTTACGTTATATACCTTTTCCATTACGCGTTTTCCTAATTACACGCGAACTGACCCACCCTGAACATTGGCTGCACCAACGACGTCCCGAAGTTAATGCAAACAAGTCCGACCCGGCGATTCCCAGCGGAAGTTCCCGGAGTCACGAACGAAACACGGGCGTGTTATAACATAACGGCGAGAAATAACCGAAAGGGCTCGTTGTTCGCTTCCTCATCTCGGTGTAATTCGGGTTAACCAGCAACTTCGTACATAGATTAAGCGATATACGACAGGTCGAAGTTGGGTCAGCAACGGTAACATGTCGAGAAATAGTTGCGCTCCGTCTTGCATCGGCGGGGAAGTGCGCGCAATGTTCAGCAGAGTAAACTAATTAATCAGTCGGCTATAGCGGGGAAGAACGATTATCGGGAATTATAATTCGGAAATTAAGATTTGACGACGTCAACGGAAGCGAAGGGGAAGGAGAAAAAAGCACGTCGGGAAGGAACTTCTCCACGGGCGGAGAGAAATTGCATCGCGTCGTCGAGGAAGCGTGAAATGTGATTACGCCGGAAGTTAATACGCTCTGCCTTCGCGGGATGTTGCGCGGGACGGTGCGGCGCCGGTGCTTTGCGCGCACTCGTGTTCATTAATTATCACGCGCGTCAGCACGTGATAAATGATACATACGTCAACGGGAAAAAAATAATTAATCGAATAATAATTCTATTATGATTCGTCAAAAAGCGTGTGATGGTATAAACTCACGGGGATGCTCTTGCGCTGCGATTCTAATGCGGATAAATGATAACCGTCGAACGTACCGGCGAAATTCACGCTCGATCACGTATCGTTCGACACGTTCGACCTCGCGCAGAATCGCTCGGGAATCATTCTGATTCGCCCACGTCTTCTTACCTCGCGCGGCTCGAGCCGAGCTTCCCAACGAATGCGACATGTCCTAATTAATGCGTATGTATGTTCGCCCTGCTTGCGAGAGTTGGCGTTGTTTTCAACCTCGCGATTGCTCAGGAGACGAGTAGAACGGGAAAGACTTCGCACGTTTCCCACCATCTTATTCTCATCCCTTTTGTCCGGTATCCGACGAGTGTGCTCCCGCTCCTCGACTTCCTATGGGTTTTCTCTCTAATCCATTCTCTGATATTTTCCCTCGGACCTCCCCCTCATTGTTCTGCAAGAAATCGGAAAAAGTGGCCATAATTGAAGTTTAATTAAATCGTTACCAAAAGCTATATTTGGTAATCTTTTGAATCAATGTCCGATAATCCGAGGATTACGATCAGATGTATAAAATAAAAAATGGAGAGTTCGATCTAACGGGCGAAAATATAAAAAGCAGTCGTACTTTAATATTAACCTGTTTTCATGAGTTTCTGGGATTGCTGAGCACAAATCCAAGGTCAGAATTGCAAAATTAAATATGGCAGATCAAGATTGTAAACGTAATCATATTTTAATATTGTTTTGCATCTATTTAAAATGAATATTATCGTATTAATTTGTGAATTTTTTTACGAAGTATACGAAAACGAACAGAAATGGGCATAATTTTCTTAAAACACTTGTAAATACGCATCTAATAACGCCTTACTTTCAGTGGTATCTGCGATTATCGCCGGTTATCGGATTCCGACAGAGCTTTTATAGCCTTAAAACTACGGCATATTCCAAAGTAGTGAAGTGTAATCTGACTATCGGTTTGTTGGTAAAGTTCTGGCGTGATTTTTTTATAAGTAGTTTGTGTTTTAAAATAACAACAAAACTTGATATTTTATTCCCGGATATATGACGAAAATTAACGCGATTTTCTTTTCAATTGAATTAATTACGCAAAAACTATATTTAGGAAATTCAAGTAATTGCTACATGGACGGTGATTGTACATGAAACTTTGGGGAGAAAAGCTGTAAGAAGAGCTGCGTATTACAACAGAATACTCTTCTGCTATTTCCCGGATCAAATGTTGGCCATATTTTTACATTCGCCGTCCTACATTTTCGTCCTGTGATCCCACAGTCCGGTGAATATCCCCCCCGACCCATCATCGCACTCGCGTGAAAGCCTCGCGCGCATCTGCCGCATGCTTACCTCATAACCCACCTCGCGTGGCTCCGGTAAGCGCATTACCGACTCGTCGGGAATCGAGGGAGGAATTTTCACTCAAGCGCGTCTGTTGTCTCTTTCCAGGACCGCGAGTTCGTGGAGATGGAAGTGCCGTACAACGGCGCCCCGAAGAGGCCGGGCTCGCCGTCACCCCTGACCTCCCCCGCGCACAGCACTGCCTCCAGGGGCGGCCTGCTGCACTCCTGCTGCGGGCGCTGCTACCCCCAACGTTACCAGGTACGCGGTCGGCGTATACTCGCCTCGACTACCTCCATAAGCGAGGGCGCGCCCTCGTCCTCCTCCCACTCTCACCAATCGCAGCCCGGTCGGTCGCACTATCAACAAACCCCGACGGTCGACCCGGCGACCGTGCCGAACGTCGTGTTCAACGTGCCGGGCGACGCCGACCGGCAGCGTCGTCAGGGCGCGAGCTCGTCCAGCTCTTACAACGAGACCAGGGTGTGAGCCGGGGTGAGAACCGTCGAGGCACCCTAAAACGAACCGGCGACGATCCTCGAGATCGGTATCGCCGGCTGCACGCACGAGAGACATTACGTGCACGGCGACTGCCACCTCTCTAGTAACGGTGGTCGCCAAACCCCCTTCCACCCCCGAGTCGTAGACTGTCGATTGAGATCCCGGTTCTTCGAGGACGTCGTCCTCCCTCGAGATTTCGCACTCGCCAACGATCCGGCGGTCCTCGCTGCTACGGTCTCAAGTTGGGGGCGTTGATCCGCTTCAGGTGTGACGAAAGTATTATTTCTACATAAGCTCTTCGGCTCGTCGAATCGAGTGAGCTGAGACCTTCCCCCCTGCGCAGAGAGGGAGGTGAAACGTAGCTCTCGCGCGCGGAGAGATCACGAGCAAGGGGGGCCTTGATGAAGCGCGTCTTGGAGGAGCGCGACGCTTTCGACCGCTCGTCGCTAATGGAAATCGGCTGTTTCCAGCTCAATGAGCGGCTTAACGGTCGCGGCTCAACTGTTTATCCTGATTCTCGGCACTTCGCGGCTCTCTCCCTCTCGGCCGGGGCTTGCGGATCGTCTTTGGCGACAAAGACTGACTGCGATACGTTAACTGAGAGAGGAGGACAGACCGCGCTGCGTGGGCGCTCGTACTCTCCTCGCGTTTCCACCACCCTCGTTCTCGCAGCTCTCTCTCGAGTCCGCGGGAGCCGAGAATGTTTAATTATCGCCGTTCGTTCTCCTCTCTCGGCGCATTCTCGCGATTAACTCTCCCGATAGCTAAACCGTGGATTTAGGGAGATTAATGAAACCGATGGAAACAACGGCGCGCTCACTCGCTCGCCCGGTCGCAGGCGGAGAATCTTTCGATTCTCGAGACGGAGCTTCGTTAAGAGGCGAGGAAGTTTGATTATGCGGCTCGAGTGAAATCCGCGGGATTACCTTGCTCGTGGTCGCACGATGGCCGCGCTAAGTGATGAAACCCACAGTCCGTTTTACCATTCGGAGACTCGTCGTGTTGCGTCGCTCGTTCGTAGCTCCATCCCACTTCGAGATTGGACCCTCGCGAGAGAGCGTTGATACGCCGATTTTTTACTTTCAACCCCCGGCGCGATAATGAGGATCTCGTTTCGTCGTATCGTTTCTCGTGGCTGCACAAACGTGCGCTCGCCGAAAGCTTCTTCTAATTTTCCACCTTTGAACGGTGCCTACTCCGATACGTGGGACACCTTCGCACCGTTCCAACCGTCTCTCTCTTTCCGAATATCTGGGATATTTCCGGAACGGATTAGAGAAAAGAGAAAGAAGAGATTCCGCGTTTTCCCCCTCATCCCTTTTCTTTCCTTCCGTTGAGGAAGAAATTCCTCTTCCCGAGAGAAGAAGGTCCAAACTCGAAGGGTGCAGAAATGATGCTCAGATCGGAGGAGTCGAGAGTTGGATCGGGAACAGCCGAGGAGAAATTTAATATGTAATATATAAATATAATCGATCTTACTTTCTCTCGATGGTGCATCAGCGGATTAAAGCGGAAAGGGCGAATTCGAACGATAAGCCCCGATCGTCGAGAAGGATCCCAAGCTTCGAATTATTGTTGTATCTCTCTCCAGCACTGCCGCCGAGGGTTCGAATTCTGAATTGGTACTCTCAGAAATCAGACGATAATCTCGACTCTGATCTCCCTGTGAAGGTGCGGCGATCCCGATCGGATCTCCATCACCGATATGTTTCGCTCACTTGACGCCCGGAGATTTATCGTTGATAATGTGCAGATTGGCAGACCGACGAGGTGTCCAGCTTACGGCAAGCGTCCCGATCCGCTACGTTACTGTTAATTAATGAAATCTCTAGAATTGCTCAGGTACGCATCGGCCAAAGGATCTTCTCTCGCGTTAATCGCGACGAACTTAGAACTCCTCCTGTAGGTAACTATTATTATTAGGTGCTACAGCGAGAGCGGAGTCTAAAGCGCATTATTTAGTCACTATTATCTTCTTGCCGAATTCTAAATCGATGTCGTAGCCCAAGTAGATTAATAACGAACGCACTGAACTTTCTGCTCTCCCTTCCCTCGTGGTCGCTCCATATAAGTTACTTTATCGTTATTCTGCCGTTACTTTATTACGTGCTGAGTCATTTTACCGATATTATTTAGAAATGAAATTGTACAGATTGACTTACAGCAGCTTTATATACGTCCGCATAATTTTCCTGGGTAATATTTGCTTCGTCCATCAGTCATCCTTTTCTTTCTTTACTTTGCTTTCAAGATGTCTTTCGCCCCTCTCTACAAACAGTTTCGCAACTCGACTTATTTGATCTGTGCTGTTCCTCGAAAAATTTGCCATCCGCCAAAGTTTACCGCCAAGAAAATTACTACGATCGTGGTGGAGAGCCCGGGTAATGTCTGTCATACCGAAAGCGCGTTTACTCCTCCCGGTGGCGCGTCTTCCTAATTTTCTCGAGTGTATTTTCTTTTCCAACCGGTGCGCCTCGCGATACTTAAGTCTTGATCGTCTCGAGCATCATTGCGCGAGGATGAATAAAACGACCGCTCTGTCCGACTTTCCGCGTTATTTTCTCTCTATCTCTCGCCTGTTTTCGTTTCATCACTCTGAGCGATGGCTTCGAGCACCGAGCACCAAGCAAATAAAGTAGTCCCGCTGGGATCGCTTTTGTGCTTTAAAGAAAATCTCAGAGTCGCACGATTATCCGCTGCCTCAATCGTGATCGAGTTACGATTTATAATGATAATAATTATTTAAAAATTTAGTTACGCTCGTTTAGGTCGTTTCGATGATGTAGCAGACGGGTCATTGGTGCTTTTTGTTTGGCGGAATCCAGATCCAAAATCGTAACGCGCGCATTTCAATATAATTACATCTATTTTTAATTCACAGAAACTTATTGCAATGTATGATAATTGTTTTGAAAAGGGACACATCAACTTGCTTGATTCTCTTACAAAATAATCTAATATTTCGAAACAAAATTTTTAATATATTTATTTTATTGTTTAACGCAACCGACCAGTAATTTCTTGGCTGTAAATTTTAACTGTTTCTGAGTGATTGTTTTAATATATTGATAAAAACAAGTTTTTTAACTGTCAGGGTAATTAGAGTGTTTATATACTGAAGTTTCTTTGTTGGTTTTATATATATATATATATATATACATATACATATATATATGTATATATATATATGTATATATATATATATGTATATAGCGAAGTAGAGAAGTATATTGTGTGTGAATATTTTACCGCTAAAGTATTGAAATCTTCCTCGCGATAGAGTAGACGAGTTTTGAAAGATTGAGCGTATTTTTCAACTTTCCTGAGAATTCGGTCGAAGGCGCTTTCGCTTTTCGCGCGAATAGGTGAAGCCGGGACGATAATTTCAACGAGATATCTCGCACTGACCATGAATACATCTCGCATAATATACACCCGGTAGTAACAGTTCGACATAAATCGACACGCGAATCGACCTTCGATCCCGCCGAATTAATGAAAATGAGAAGTGACGAACGATCCGATTGGCCGACAGATCGAGGACGTAACCTCATCGAAAGCTCATTTGCAAATGCCTCCGTCTCGGCTTTCACAGCCGCCATTTTTCAACGTTATTCTAACGACGGTGTTTCAACCCTGTTTTTCTCAACCCTTTTTCTTCCCTTTTCTTCTGGCCCGCTGCTAATTGTTGGTTAATCTACGGTTCGGTCGTACGAGTGCGTCCTAAATCCTCATTACACTCGTAAAATATGTGAAGGCTGTTCCGTGAGGGCGAGAACAATTTCGGCAATTAGGCTTCACACTCACTTCCAATATTGAATTTCACGAAATTTAGTCGAATTTCCTTCGTAATTATCTAATCTTTTTTTACTTTTTAGACTTTGTTCGCTTTTCTTGACGTTTCGTTTAATCTTTTTGTTCTGGTACTTAACAATTTGTTTAAAAGATTTGTGTAAATAATGAAATATTAATAATTCAGCAAGATGTAATTATTGCACTGGGAGTTTACCTCTGTGCATCGTACAGAATTTCTCTGTTCATCATTCTTCCTCCTCTTCTACTTATGCCTCTTCTTCTGCTTCCGCTTTTTCTCTTCTTCTTCTTCTTCTACGTCTAATTATATTTCTCGGTCATACTCTGTAGGTCAACGAAAAAGCGTGATGTCACTCTCGATATGAAACGTTGTCTTCCGTTGAAAGAACCACGGACTTTCACGGAAATGAAGCACAAGCCCTACTCCTCCTCACACTATATCGTAGATCCACGAAGGATCTCGATCCAGTAGGATACCTTCACCTTCTACTGATCTAGGACTTAGGAGCAGGGTGCTCTTTCTCCCTCGATCGTATCGCGAATCAACGACGCGCAACCCTTACCTTCCGTACAACTAAATCCACTTATTTTCCAAGTCTTCCTTTGAATTTCAATTCGAGCTACTAAAAGTCTCATCATAAAACGATCTATTAATTTCAACAATTTATCGCAATTATTTCTCGCGTATAATTATGTAGCGATTTGATCTTCCAATTACGTTGGAACAATTATCTCGATCGCGCTCTATGTCTAGGCACCAATTCGCGAAAAGCTCCAGCTGCTCGGTAGTTCATTCTTTTTTCGGCTTCAGTTCGCGACTAAATTCCCAAGCAGAAATTAAACCAGTTTCTAGCTAGCAACTGGCCAGTAATTCTCTAGCTAGCTAGTTTCTGATCAGTTTTACTGGCCAAAAACTTACAACTTTGGGAGACTTTTGCTCTAACGAT